TTCTACAAGTAATTTCTATATTTTTTAAACAATTTAAATTTTTTGAATAATTTTTTTCAAAACCAATTAAAAAAGTTTATTTTATGATTCCAAATTTATACCTGTTTTGGTGTTTATGATCACACATTTTCAACAAATACAATATTATATTTAAAATATACAGTCATTCTGTATTTTTATTTCTATTTGATTAATTATGAAGTAAATATATATAAAAAAAAACATAAAATTTTTAAAAACACTTTTTATTTTATTTTTTTTTTTTTTTATATTTATTTTTTTTATATTTTCCTTATAAAAAAAAGTAGGTCATAACTTGGCTGAATGATAATTAATTTTTATCTTTTTATTATTATTTTTCTTATTTTTTTTATTTTTAATAATAATAATATATTTTTTAATAAAAATAAAATAGATAAAACAAAATGACATAATCAATTTGAAAAAATAGAAAAATTTTAAGATAGATGTAACCATTCAAAAAAGAAAAAAAAATTGGATTCAGGTGATCAACAATTAAAGGTATTTTGAAAAGTTAAATGATCCAATTGAAATGGTTATAAGCATTAGATATCAATGGGTAATAAAATTTAGTGGCTGTTCGGTGGATTTTATTTTTCAATTTTTTTATTAAAATTAAAAATTAAAAATAAAATAATGTAATGTATAATCATCAAAATTCACTTAATTAATTAACTATAACTTAAATAGTCATTTAATCAAACAATTATAATAATTAATAATTTTAATAATTGAAAATAATTTAATTTAAAAAAATAAAAAATAAAAAAAAATAAAAAAAAAATAAAATAAAAAATTTTCAAATTTTTTGTTTTATTCAATTTTCACATAAACTTAAAAATCATATAATTTATTATCTTTATTTTATTGTTTATTAATTATTTATTTATACTTTAAAAGTTCATTTACATTACACTTTTTTTTTCAAAGTTAGTAGAGAATTTTTAAAGGTATTTATTTACAAAGAAATTATTCAGATAGAAAATGTATTAAATTAAAGAAGAAAACGTAGACTTTTTTTTTTTTTTTTTTTAAAAAGTGAAGATAATTAAAAGCAAATGCTTTAAATTAATCAGTAAAATTTTTTTTTTTTTTTTTTTTTAAAAGTGAAGATAATAAAAAGCAATGCTTTTAATTAATCAGTAAGTAAAATTAGATAGACTGAGTAAAAGTCATTTTCGAAAATGACATTGCCGCTAAACTTGTCGCTGCAGAACAGTGCATTATAAATAAAAAAAATCACCATTTTTCATCACCAGGTAAGATTATATCGCCTGGAAGATTTTCCTTACAAAAAGGCCCCAGCGGGGATCGAACCCACGACCTCTTCCTTACTAGGGAAGCGCAATACCACTATGCTATGCGGCCAATTTAATGAAAGTTTAAATTCAGACCTTATAAGGGTTTTCAAAAAAATACATAACTTTATCGATAATTATTGTGTTGTAGAGACATTCTAGTTTTAATAATTGAAACATTTTTTAAAAGTTTTTTCCAAGATGTCTTTTTATATGACTTTAATCAAGACATTTCCCATTTAAAATTTATTTTCTATAATGTCTTTCAATTCGGTCGTCCATCTTTCTTATTCTGTCGGGTATGGGTTTGCAATTGTATCTTTTTATTATTATTAAAATTCTCTTAACTGTAGACCAACTGCACTCAATATTTCTTAAACTTTTTTGATGACTTTTCTGTAAATTTTTAAAATCATTTTTCTTTATTCTAAAAAAAGAGTAATTATTGTTTTTTTTTTAAAAATCTTAATGAATTCATTTTTTTTGAACAAACAATCCTAATGACAATCACTGATCAATCCATCAGATTAAAAATATCCACCTTTTACAAATTACCAGAAACCACTCTTATCAACTTACCAAACACCTATCTAATTATACTACAAATCCTCACACATACCATTTCAAAATTTTTTTTTTTTTTTTTTCTTTTTTTTTTAAAAAAGCTTACTTAATAATATAATAAATATTATTGGTGTAAGCGACGGTGTTTATTTATATTAAAATATAAGAAGAAATAAGGGTTGTGTTAAGGTTGAAGCAACTTATCTAGTTAATAGAATTTTTTTATTCTTAGATTTTTGTTTAATAGTAGGGGATTTAGGACTACCTGATTGGTACGGAGTGGTTTTGATTGGTATGGATATTTGGCTAACAGTTCGAATACGGTTACTTTTTGTGGTGATATTCATATTTGTTATGGCGGTTTTATTTTTGGAAGTTGGTGAAGCTAATCTTTTTTTTTTTTTTTTTTTTTAAAAAAAGCTTAATAATATAATAAATATTATTTTTTTTTTTTTTTTTTTTAAAAAATCTTACTTAAAATATTATTAGTGTAAGCGACGGTGTTTATTTATATTTGATAAAACTTAATTTATAAAAAGTAAGAATTTATATGATGTTAACACTTGTCGGTTTTGTAAAATAAAAATAAAAAATCGGGAAGATACCCGGAATATATGATCTTCAAAAAGAAAGGCCCCAGCGGGGATCGAACCCACGACCTCTTCCTTACTAGGGAAGCGCAATACCACTATGCTATGCGGCCAATTAGCTGATAATAAAATTTTATTACTCCATATCCTTTTTTTCAAGCATGGGAAAGAGAATTCAAAAATATAAACAGAATATATAAGAAACTTCAACACCAAGACCCAGCTAGTCAGCGACATCACACAATGAAGATAGTCAACAGGCTAGAGAAGTTTAGCAAGATATGGAATTCAGATATATTTAGAGTGAAAATACCGATACACCTGGAAAGCTACAGAACTTTATAGATGAATTACAAATAAAAATTAAATAACAAAATTATTTAACAAAAATTAAACAACTAAAATTAAATAATCAAAATTAAATTACTAAAAAATTTTTCTAAAAATAAATTAATAAAAGTCGTGTTAACCTTTGCACCATTCTTATTGAAGGGGGTAAGTCAAAAATTCGTGGTTAGCTATTAATACAAAAAAAAAAGCTTTTTTTTTTATTAATTTTATTTTGATTGGTTTTAAAATAGTTTGAAAAAATGAATAATTATTATCAAATTTGGAAAGTAAAAAAATTTAAAAAAAATTTATACACAAATACTATCCCATTTTTTTATTCCAAATAAACATTAAAATTTATGTAATTGTCTCTATATTTATTATTATATTTATTATTTTATCCTGGGATGGTTTTCATTAAAAATATTTTTCTCCCTTTATTTGCAACCAACACATGTAAAATTTTCAGTTTTTATTCAATAAAAAAAAAAAATTTGTATAAAAAAGCTTTCTATTAAAATTAAATAATAAATAAAATTAACAATTTAAATAAAATGCAAAAAAAATAATGATTTTAAAAATAAATAAAAAATTTTATTATATATTTTTTATAATACTACAACAAATAAGTTTATTGTTAAAAATTTAAAATGTTTAGAAACATTTTCTGTGGACAATTGATGGACCTGATTCGTCATATTCTTCTTTGGAGATCCACATTTGTTGGAAAGTTGAGAGTGAGGCTAAAATTGAACCACCAATCCAGACAGAGTATTTACGTTCTGGTGGAGCAATGATTTTAATTTTCATGGTTGATGGAGCTAAAGCAGTTAATTCTTTGTTCATACGATCAGCAATACCTGGGAACATAGTTGTACCACCTGATAAGACGACATTACCGTATAAATCTTTACGGATATCAACATCACATTTCATGATTGAATTGTAAGTGGTTTCGTGGATACCAGCTGATTCCATACCTAAGAATGATGGTTGGAATAAGGCTTCTGGGCAACGGAAACGTTCGTTACCGATGGTGATGACTTGACCATCTGGTAATTCGTATGATTTTTCTAAGGCAGATGATGAGGCAGCAGTTTGCATTTCAGCTTCAAAGTCTAAGGCAACGTAGGCTAATTTTTCTTTGATATCTCTGACGATTTCTCTTTCAGCAGTGGTGGTGAATGAGTAACCACGTTCAGTTAAGATTTTCATCATGTAATCGGTTAAATCACGACCAGCTAAATCTAAACGTAAGATGGCATGTGGTAAGGCATAACCTTCGTAGATTGGAACAGTGTGGGAGACACCATCACCTGAATCCATAACAATACCGGTGGTACGACCTGAGGCGTATAATGATAAGACGGCTTGGATGGCAACGTACATGGCTGGGGTGTTGAAGGTTTCGAACATAATTTGGGTCATTTTTTCTCTGTTAGCTTTTGGATTTAATGGGGCTTCAGTTAATAAGACTGGGTGTTCTTCTGGGGCAACACGTAATTCGTTGTAGAAAGTATGATGCCAGATTTTTTCCATATCATCCCAGTTGGTAACAATACCGTGTTCAATTGGGTATTTGAGGGTTAAGATACCTCTCTTTGATTGGGCTTCATCACCAACATATGAATCTTTTTGACCCATACCGACCATAACACCAGTGTGTCTTGGACGACCAACAATTGATGGGAAAACAGCTCTTGGGGCATCATCACCAGCAAAACCGGCTTTGCACATACCTGAACCGTTATCGATAACTAAAGCTTGAACATCTTCTCCTTCCATCTGTGTAATTGAGAGAAAAAAAATAAAATAAAATAAAATTAGAAATAAATAATAAAAAAATAATAAATAAAAAAGAGATAATTACTTTGAGTTTATATATATTTAATTGATTAATGAAAAATGAAAAAAAAAAAAAAAATGATTTTCAAAAAATAATTTAAATAAAAAAAATTTTCAAAAAAAATTACAAAAAAAAATTGCAAAAAAAAAAAATAGTTTTTAAAAAAGCCAATTTCTTGAATCCAAATGAGATAAAATTTTCTAATAATAAAAAAAAAAAAAGGTTGCATATTTATTGGTCTTTGAAATATAGTTTTCTAATAATATATATTTAAATAAATTTTATTTTATATTATTTTTTTTATTTTTTTATTTTATTTTTATTATTTTTATTTTTTTTTTTTGGTTTTGTTTATTTTGATTGTTCAATGAAATCAATTTCTTTGGCTTGTTTTTTACGATTACGAGCTTCAAATTGAAGTCTATTATCAATAATTCTTTGAACAATTTCAGAAGCAGTTAAACCTTCAGTATGAGCGATTTCTTTATAGATACCCATTTCTTTTGGAAGCTTGTATGGATCAGCACCATTATCTGGACCTAAAATAACTGGGTCATCACCATGAACAACGACATTGATGTGAAGTGATTCGATCATTTCTTTAGTGACTGAAAATGGAGCACCAATGACTACTTCGTCAACATAACGACATGATAAAACAGAGAGGACACGTTCGTGAAGATTCATAATTGGGAAATTTGAACCTTTTTGTTGATTAACAGTTTTATCATCATGAACACCAACGATGAGGAAGTCACCAAGAGCTTTAGCTTGTTTGAGTGCTTCAGTGTGACCAACATGGAATAAATCGAAACCACCATCCATATAGACAATTTTATCATTTGGTTTTGGAGCACGACCTTCTGAGAATTGAACGATTTTTCTTGTGGTTGGAAGGAAATGTGACATTGAGGTATATGGTGATTGTTTGTGAAGTTGATTTGGGTTAACATCTGCGATTGGTGAAGTGCTTTCTTTACCAACAGAGTTTGAAAGATGATCTTTGGTGCATAATAACATACGGCCTACTAATTCAGTAGTTGAGACACCTTCGGTACGTTTAATGAATCTAAATTTACCACTCTTTTTAATACCTTCATAAACATCTTTACCATCAGCACCAACTGAAATATCTTCACCATGAACACAAAAATCACAGTTTTGACTATCTAAAAATTCTTCAGTTAATGTATATGGAGCACCTTCTGCAACTTCATCAGCCCATTTACAGGCACGAACAGCTTTATATCTTTCTTGCTCTTTCATTACTGGTGGTCCTTTATTTTTAGTGATTTCTTCATCTGTATGAACACCAACAACCAAAATATCACCCAATTCTCTTGCTTGTCTTAATGCATTAGCATGACCAAAATGCATTAACTATTGAATTTGATTTGTTTAAATATAATTTGATTCGATTTGTTTTTTTTTTTGTTTTTTTTTTTTTTTTAATTTATTTAAAATTAAAACATTTTGGTTAATAAAATGGAAAACTTTCTATTTTTTTTTTAATTTTTTTAATTTTATACCTACATCAAAACAACCATCAACATAGACTCTTATTGGTTTCTTTTTTTGTTCGGTACTCATTGTATATATATTATTTATAATTGAAATATAAATGTAAAAAAAAAAAAAAAAAAAATTTAAAAAAATTAAAAAAAATTTTAATTAAAAAAAATAAAAATTTTAAAAAAAAATAAAAAAAATAAAATTTTTTTACATATACCATCTTTAAAAAAAATTAAGCTATTCAAATAATTTTTAAAATATAGTAATAAATATTTTGTTATGTGAAATGAAAAATCCAAAATTGGTTATTTCTATTTTAAAAAAAAAAAAGAAATCTAATTTAAATTAAATTAAGATACTGTTTGTGAGTTTTTGAAAAGGGGTTATATATTTATTTTTACTTTTTTTTTATTTATAAATATTTATTGATTGATTGATTTTTATTTAAAAAATTGATTTAAATCAACTTGAATAAATTGTCTAGCGTAGGCTGGGACGATTGTAATATTTGGATTACCTAATGGACCCTCTTGGGTACCAACTGAAACATAAAATTGATTTTCAGCAAAATCATATAAACCAATGTGAAGATCACCAGTTTGTAATTGAGCAGCAGCATTAATAAGGGCTGTAGCGTCGATTGAACCCCATGATTTTTGTAATACAGAGGCTAAGCATTGATGATTGCTTGGTTGAACGAATTTATCAATGTAAACAACATCTGTAATTTGTGGGTGAGCAGCTGGTGTTGGAGCATAAGCTGGGAATGGTGTTTGGTCGTCAAATACACGTACATATTGGTGAGAATATTCGACTGCTTTGAATGTATTGGTTGAATTACTACCTAAACCCATAAATACAGCGCATGTACGTTGAGCATTATTAATACGATCCAATGCTTCGTCGATTGAAGTATCATATTGAATGATTTCTCTTAATAAAAAGTGGAATGGGATACCTTCACGTGAACTGGTGCCATTGTAACCAAACCAATATTTTTCGCAAATACCAACATGTTGACTGTAACCTGTTAAAGTGCCTAAAAAACCAGCCCATGATAATACTGCAAAGTCATGACCACCATCAGATTCTTCTGGGTGATAAATCATAACAGTTGGATGGAGTCTTAATGGGTTCATTGGGTCAAATCCAAAATCTAATGCTCTTAATTGTAAAAGACCATGGTTAAGTGTTGATTGGTTGTATGCACCAACCATTGAACATGCTGCTTTAATTAATTCTGGGAACATATGTAATTGAAGAATGGTATTATATGCGACACCACTGCCATCTGCTAAACCTCTCATCTCTTCGAAAAAGTGTTCTGGTGTATGCTTTTTGGTTAACTCTGCTGTAATATCCAATGCCAATTTAACTCCACCCTTTTCAATTGCATCTATTAAAAACTTTGGTAAATAATCTGCATACTATATAAAAAAAAAGGTTAATAAAAATAAAAAATAAAAAATAAAAATAAAAAAATAATACATACTTTGGAGATTAAATCATTAACCATAATTGTAATATAGTTAAAAAAGTTATCATAAATATCATGCATTTGAGATTTTAATAATTGACCTTGAGCAAAACCTCTTTGATATGGGGTACCAAATAATTCAATAAGATTAACTTGATTGCCTACTGGACCAATAGAATATAATTTAGCATATTCAGTTTGATTAACTAAAACTGGTGCTTCATTATAAATTGGATATGGGTTATCTCCTGCATCGCATTGACAATTTATTAAAACAATTAAACATTGTATTATAAAAATTATATTTAAAATTTTCATATTTTATTATAATTTATTTATTTATTTATTTATTCTTATATTTTTATTATTTACAATTTATATTTACAAAGAAAAAAAAAATGAATAGGTACGGTGATTGAGAAAAAAAAAAAAATTTTAATAAAAAGATAAATATCTTTTATTTTAAAATATAATGCGACTTTGTGTAATTGTTAATGAAAAAAAAAAAAAAAAAATATATAGAAAGTAAAAATTCGAATTTTTTTTTAATTATAATTGTTAATTGGATTTTTTTTTTTTTTGCAAAATAGATTTTAATAAAAAAAAAAGAAAAAAAAATAAAAAAATAAATAAAAAATAAAAAGTTTTTTATAATGTCCCAGAAAAATTAGATTTAGATTTTTTTCGAATGGTCACAACATTGTTGGCACGCATAATCTAAAAAAAAAAAAAAATTTTAAATTTAAAATTTTTTTTTTTTTGCATAAACCGAATTTTCCATTTCTTTTTCATCATTTATCAAAATTTTGTGTGGTCATAGGTCGGCAAAAAATATTTACAAAAAATAATTGATTAAATAAATTTTATTAAGTTTTTTTTTATAAAATATTATAAGATATAGAATTAATTATTCGCACCTTCAGTTTCAATTCCTTCATTAATTACATTCTTTAATTTGAATTTGTTGTTTCCTAATAATGATTCTTTTGGATATTTCTTTTTGTAAATTTCTAAAAATACAACCAAGGACACAAATAGAGTTACTACAAAACCTAAAATTATAGAATATACTTTTGATGCACCATATGTGTGGAAACCAGTCCATATTGAAACCAATCCTAATAAAAAAGTTAATCTTGATATCCAATGATGAACGATATCGGGGAAAATAGGTACTTTTTTTCTTGTTTCATCCCACATGTAATGACTAACGATACCTAGTGTAACGGAAAATACCATAAATATAACGGTGAAAAGACCGAACCAAGCATGGAGCACACCTTTTGAGAATTTTCTTTGGCTCATCATAAATGCAATAACGAAGCCAACAGCAACAAAACAGAAAGCAGTGCCTAATAATATATAGTGGATTGGGAACCAATAATGATATTGTTTGAAATATCGTGCAACTAATATACCGAATGGCATTAGTACTAAAAATGCAGCAAGCATTAAGCCGATATGCCATGAGATGTAATCTTTCTTGCTGGTTCCGATAGTACCACCATTTACTTTTCCTAGTGTTAAAGTCAACTCACCACGATTTTCGTGGTGATATCTTAGGTTAGATTGGACTGGAACACCTCTTGCCCAAATTAGATAGGTTGGGTTGTTAATAGTTAAATCTCTATCACCGATAATATCATCGGTTACTAATTTTCTTGTAAACTTAACATAGGTATAGTTTGGTGTTTGGTATCCATATGATGTGAGTATATCATTGGAACCTCCGACCTTGCTGTCTATAAATGGCGATTGATATTTGGCTCCATCTGGTAAAACTCTATCGGTAATATTTAAACTACCATCATTATTGAAAGCACCTATGATATAATCTGCATCGTTCATACCATTACTATTACTCCATCCGATTCCGAGCCATGTTTTAATATTTGCTGACACTATATAAAAATAAATAAATTTAATTAGTTTTTTTTTTAATTTTCTTTTTTTTTTTTTTATAAATTTGATTTTACATATAAATAAAATTGAATCGTTGTTTTCTATTTCCCATTGGATCCTAAAATTAACAGTTTCATCCACAACTATTTCATTCATACAAATGCTTTGATTAATTAATAATATTAAAAATAATAATATTATTTTCATTTTTTTTTTTATAAGGAGCTATTAGTTATTGATGAATATTGTTTTATCTATATTAATATTATTATTATTACAAGTTTAAAATTAAAAATATTGTTTTTTTTTTTTTCAAAAAAATTATAACTTTGTAGTTATTAAAAAATTTAATTTTGTAGGGGTTTTATTTATTATTTTAATATTAATGGTTTTATTATAATTTATTTTTTCCTATTTTAATATAAAAAAAAAGAAGTTACAAATTTTTATCGTTAGTTTTTTTTTTTTTTGTTTTTTTTTAATATTTTTTTTTTTTTTAGATATATATCTGAAATAAATAAAGTTTGTAAAAAATATTTTTAAATTAGAAGGGGTGAAATTGGGAACTTTTTTAAAAATAGTTATTGTTATAATTTTAATTTTGGAAAAAAAAAAAAAAAAAAAAAAAAAAAAATATGAATATACAATAAAAAAATAATTTTATTACAAATAAAAAATTTATTTTTATTTTATTTTTACCTGCACACATACCCACTTTAACCCACACCATATATATTTAAATTTGGAAGAATTTTTGTGATGTGTATTTTAAAATTCAAATAAAAAGATTTTATGCTATATTTTTTTTATTATTTATGGCAGGTAATCACTCTTTATTTATAATAAAGGGTTTGTTTTTAAATGATGCAATACAAACCACTGTCTATTTTTTAAAATTTATTAATAAATTTGATGTTAACATTTAAAAAATAATTTTATTTATTTTCAAAATAATTAGTTGTTTTATTTATTTTTTTGAATACAATATCTGTTGATCATTGAGAAACCTGTTTAATTTAATTGATACTTCAAATCGAAATTTTAAACAAATAATTTTAATGAAGCCTTTATAGATTTAAAAATTTACCTTTCTAATATCAATTCGTTATATTTGAATGTTATTAATTCTTTTTTTTTAGTTGTTCAAATAAATCTATTGAGTTATTTTAGAATCCGGAATAATGGGTGTAACAAGAAACTCAGTTAAATGTATCAGAGAAAATAAATCTTAAAGTTTTTTTTTAAAAAAAAGTGCAACTAAAATAAATAATAGTTTAAACTTAATTTCTTTATATTTTAATTTTAATTATTTTATTTTAAATTTTAAATTTTATATACTATATTATATCATTGAGTGTTATTTATTTTATGTGTTATGTACATGCGCATTATATATTATTTATTTTGGTTGTAATTTATTATATTGTATTACAATTGTTAGAATATATTTTTTTTGTTTTTTTTTTGTTTTTAAAATTTAGATTTGATTTATGTTGTTTTTTATTGATTGTTTTTAAATAGTATTTATACTAACACCATTATTGCTATTATTCAAACTTGGGATGTTGTTTGAATTTGAAGATTTTCCATCAGTACTTTTTAAATTATTTGTACTTGTCATTGCGCTTGTATTTAATCTGGAGAGATAGCTCTCTGATGCTGTTTTATTATTGCTACTTGAACTGGTCAAAGAGTTCATATTGGAAATGGTGGTTGTCGATGATGATGAAGAGGTGTGATTGGCACTAACTTTGTTATTTGTTGAAAAACATTTCATTTCATCGAACAATTCTAAATTATTTAAATTGGCATCTCTTAAAAATGGATGAGCAATAATTTCTTCAATTGATGCTCCTATAGGATTAATAAAAAATATGTTAGTATCTATTATTAAAGCTTTTATATTTTAAAAAATTATATTTACTTTTAATTGGATCAAAAATAAAAATTTTTGATAATAAATCTATAACTGATTTATCTTCAATGTTATGTAAAGTATCTAAAAATTTTGGGCTAATATTTGGTAACTGAAGATGATATGGCTTGCTTGGTTTCATTGATTCCATATCTTCTTTTGTTGGGGAACCTAAAACCTCGATAATTCTACCTAATTGATCGTTTGAGTTGGTACCTGGGAATAATGGTTTTCCTATTAACATTTCAGCTAAAATACAACCAATAGACCAAATATCCTGTAAAAAAAAAATAAAAAATATTAATAAATAAAAAATATAAAATTTTTTTAAAAAAAAAAACAATAATTACAATTTTTGTTGTATAGTTTGAGCAACCAACCAAAAGTTCGGGTGCTCTATAATATCTTGAACAGATATAGGACATACTGGTATGGTTTGGTTCTAAAATCTTAGCACTTCCAAAATCAGCCAAGGTTAATTCACCTTTTGAGCTTAAAAGAATATTGTTTGGTGTGATATCTCTGTGACAAATGTTCTTTGAATGAATATGTTTTATAGCTTGGCATAATTGATAAAATAAAACTCTAATAAAATTAATTGATAATTGTCTTTTCTTTAATAAATTTGCTAAAGTATAGGGAATAAAATCAAAAACTAAATTCTATAAATTATAATTGTTTTGATTAATATCTACTTTAAGTTTCAATATAAATTAAAAAATTTTGTCTATACTTACTTGCATCTTTTTATTTTCTTCAGATGTATAAAAAATATCCAATATTCTTAAACAATTTTGGTGTTGAACTATCTTTAGGATATCATATTCTCTACTTATAAAATGGTTTGATTTTTCCACTTTTTTGATTGCTACTCTTTTGTTATCTTGATTCTTTGCTTCATAAACTTTACCAAATGTACCTTGACCTACTTGTTTAACGATTTCATATTGATATGCTTTATTAGTATTCAAAGATGATGATGAGGCTACTTGTTGTTGTTCTTTAATTAATATATCTTTTTTATCATTAATTAATTGAGGTTCTGAATGTTTTGAGTTTAACATTTTTAATTTTTACTTTTTTTTTCTAATATATATATTATATTTTTGATTATTATTATTATTATTGTTTTTTTCTTTTTAATCCTTTATTTAATATTATATAATTATATTATTTGTTATTACTTTAATTCTATATACTATTAATTTCAAAGGAAATGGATTAGTATTATGTTATATGTTTAATTAATGATAGATATGTATAAAAAATATTAAAAATAAAACATACAAAAAAAATTAAAAAAAAAAAAAAAAAAATTGTTGTGAGTTAAAAAAAGATAACATATATGAATATTTTTATGTGTATACTTCATAAATAAATAAATTATTATTTCTATATATACATGAAAAAAATATTATGTTTTGATTATTGTAATAATATGATATAAAATTTATAACTACTATTGTTGTTATTGTTGGTTTTTTAAAATTGTATTGTTTCAAAAAAAAAAAATTAATTAAAAACAAACATTTTTATTATTAAATTTGAACAATAAACTGAAAAACACACAATTTCACACAAAACATATAAAATAAACTCACACAAACACACATATAAATAAAAACATGTTCCTAACACACACAACGCACAACACATTATTTTTATTATTATTTTTTTATTTATTATTATTATTGTTATTTAAAATAATTTTATTGAATCTAACCAATATATTTGTTTATAAAAATACTTACCAGTGTGATTAATTTATATATACTAAATTTATATAAATATATTTATTAGGGGTACTATTTATAATATAAGTTATTATATGTTATTATTATATAACTATAATATATAAAATTATAAATTAATTAATTTCTATTTATAAATTATAAAATAATTAAAAAAAAATAAAAATAAAAAAAGGTAACAAGTGACTGAACAGGATTAAAATTAAATTTTGACAGTATTTTATTAAATTTGAGAAAAAGAGTATTTATTAAAAAAAAACTAACAAACAATTAATCGTGATTTATATTTTTAATTGAAAATTTTATAAATGTTGTTGAGTTTTAAATACAGTTATTTAAAAAAATATAAATAAAATTATAAAAAAAAAAAATAACTTTAAAAAAAAAATAATTGAGAGAAAAAAAAAATATAAATTATAAAATTAAATAAATAAATATAAAAATAAATGTGTGTGCAAATATTGATATTAATTATCTTTTGATATTATTACGAGGGTGAGTGTTATAAAAATAGGAAAAATGTATTGTATAAAAATAACATATTATATTATCCCGATTAAAATCTATTTATTTGAAGAAATAGTGTTATAAAAATCTATAATAGTAATGATATACCTTTATTAAAAAACAAAAAAACAAACAACAAACAAAAAACAATAACAATAACAATAACAAGAATAAAGAATTTTGATATAGTTATATTTTTTTTTTCCCTTATATGTATATAATTTGAATAAATGATTAAAAGTAATTTTCGAAAGTAATAATAATAATAATAATAAAATAATAAAATTATAGTGATATTATTATTTATACTTTATTTATTAAATTAAAATTATAATTAATTTTTTTTTTTTTTTTATAATTATTTTTTTTATTTTTTTTTTTTTTTAATTTAAATTTATTATTTATTTCTTTAAATTAAAGTATAAGAGTATAAATATAAAACAAATTTGATATATCTAATTTAAATTAATAATTTAATATTTAATCAAGAAATATTTAATATTATATTTAATATAAAAACAAAACAATATTTTGTTTTTCTTTATCTAGAAATTTTTTTTTTTTTTTTTCTTTTTTTTTTTTATTTTTTTTATGAATGAATCAACATATCATGTTAACCA